CGCCTCCCGGCGCAGCGTCCTCCCCGTCCTCGAGGCTCTCTACTGCGGGATTAGGTGCAGACTTAGAGGTACAGAAATAGCGCAGACAACTTCCACAGCCGTCACCCCGTCTCCAAAATCACCTCCCCAGCGCAGCACGATCAGAGCCAGTCTCGGGGCGCTGGGGTGCTGGGGCGGCCCCTCCCGCCGCGAGCTCGCTGCGCCCGCGCCCGGCCGGGGCGACCCTGCTGGCGTCCTCCGTGCTGACAGCGTGGCTCTGGGCGTCCTCGGCCTGCGCGCCCGGGGCTCGCGGGGCCTTCACAGGGCGGCCGGACAGGCCAGCGTGCGACCGGCCAGGGCAGCGAGCCGGAGGTGGCTGACGAGGGCCGAACCGTCCCCAGGGGATAAAGGACCATCGTGGCTCCTTGGCCACAGGAGCCGGGAGAGCGGGGGAGGGGCGGCGTCTGTGCGACGGCCGGGACAGCTGGCCGGCTGGCCGGCTGCTCGGACGCCCCGGCCCAGCCCTGCCGTCTGTCGCGGTGCCCTGGGAACGAGGCCTGTGCTCGGCCTGGGTGAGCGTGCTGCCCACGGCCTTCGCGCTGGCCGGCCGGCGTGGCGGTCACTGGAGGCCCCGGGCAGGCACGGCTCTGGCTGGACGTCAGCCGGCCGAGAGGCCAGCACGGAGGAACATGCTGCCAGAGCAGAGGGAGCCCTCCGCGGCCTGCGGGCGGGCCCTGGCGGGGTCCAGGCTGGTGACCCGGCCCGGGGTGTGCGCTCAGCCCACCTGCCCAGCTTCCTCCTTCCCCATTACCAGCGGGGGCCCTGCACCCCGCCATCAGAGAAAGGCACCCCGCACGCGGCCCCGGTGCTGGAGGGGTGCGGGGTACAGGTGGTGAGGGGCGCGCGTGGTGGCCCCGAGACCCTCCTGCCCCCACTGGCCCCACGGACCCCGCACAGCCTCCCTCCGGGGCTGGCTGAGTGACCGCAGAAGGGGCCCGGCCGCCTGCCCGCGCACGGCCGCCCCCGCGCGTGGGCAGAGTTGTCAGCCGGCCTTGGGGGCGCCCTGAGCCCGCTCGCTTGTTTGCAGCCCCGGTACTGTGACAGCGGCGAGGTGTCGGGGAGAGGAGAGGCCAGGCGCCGGGTGGGGGCCAAGCTGCTGCGGCCGGGATGGGCGGACATGG